TCAGAAATTTTAATACGCATCGTTTAATAAGATGAGTATATAATTTTTTTAAAACTTTTTCTTCTCTCCTTAAAGTATTAAATTATATTTAATTAATTATTCAAAATAACATATAATCCTTAATTATCTAATCATACCGACCATTATCCTTTAATTGTTCATAAAACCTGGGGGTCTAATCATGCCAACCATAATCCTTTAATTGTCTTAAATGATTGAAGTGTTTGGCCTCTATGAATCATAGATGCATAAATGCATGAGATGTTTTATGCACATACTGCAAATTTTCCTACAAACATGTCGAATGGTATATTTTTTTTCTTCCTCAAAACTTTAGCTATACGACGGGGTTAACTTTTGCTAGTATTATGGCAAGGGAAATAAATGTGATGGTTTTTGACCGTTTATTCTTTTATATATAAATGAAAACCTCAAACATGTATTACGTCAAAGAAAAAAATTAAATAAACTAGTTGAAGAATATGATAAATAGTGAGGTCAAGAGAGTTTTCTTTCTCTAGCTTTATATGTTAATTCATATATAAATTTTTCGTGTTGGTGTCACGCTTAAAATATTGATATTACATGTAAATCGATGATATTACTGTTAGATAATATATTTAAATATAACATATCATGTGAATCTTTTAATAATCATGTCAATAAAATATTATCATTTAAATTATAGAGACTTTGAAATCTTTAAAAAAAAATGTTTAAAGATTATTAGATTTAATATATATATAAATATATATTTGCTCCTTTTATCTTTATATTGTTTAATTTGTCCTTTTTTCTCTGTCTGTCTTGGGGCAATGGGTGGACGGTTCCCATCTACTTTTGCAAAGAGCCATCGCTTTTATCATAGGGAAGGAATAATGGCTGTGCTTCCTTGACCTTTTATGGACCCCATTTCATTTCAGTCCAATCATGTGAATTACACTTGGCCCCATAATAATTAAAGGTTAAATTACAAATAATGTTCACTATAATTTTATGATATTTTTCATTTGATCACTAACATAGAAAAGTTTTATTCAAGTCACTGAATTTAAGGAATATTTTTTTTTGATTATTGTCCATACCCAAATATTGAATGACATACGAGTCGATACATTAAATGTCATTTCCTATTTTTAATAACTAATGAATAATGAACCCACAATCTAAAAGGTGTCAACTAAAAATTTTTATTTGCTAGATTATTGACACATTTTTTTCTTTTAAAATATTATAATAAAATAACAATACATATCACTATCTTATTCATCAATAAAAAAATAAAACAAATATTTTATTAAAAAGGAGATTCAAACGAAACTCTGTAAAAATATACAAGGCTTAGCCATAGCCACTACACCTAAATATTTAATGGTTAAAATTAGTTACATTTATTTTATATAAATATATAGATTATAAGAAAATATCTATTTAAGATTCTCATTCATTTGATAATTAAAATTTAAACATTAGTATAAACAAACCTCTAAAAGTAACACTTATCTCTTTAATTACTAAAAACACTTAATTGATGCATAAAATTAAATATAAAAAGACGTTTGCTTTAGTGAATAGAATGCTAACGAGGTATTGCTTTGAAGGATTGGTGTCGTCAAAGTGGAGACTTGCCCCCCCCCCCCCCCACTGTCTCAATCCTTCCCAAACTAAAATTTTAGATTTAATCGTTTTCCCTTAATTTGAACTTAAAAAGATCAAATCGGCAGAGCATCATTAGTGGCTTTTCGTTAGATTAATAAATGATTATTTTTAATTAAGAATGAAATATTTGAATATTTTTCTGATTGGGTCGATGTTACAAAATGATCTCATTAAGCTTGTAAAATTTCCTTTCAGGATCCGGTTTTTATTTCGGCGATAAGATGGTAAAGTATTAATTAGAGTAGTGTTGCTGTTAGTGAACGATTGTTGCTATATTTTGTGAGACAAATATTCAATATTCGCAAGCATCGAAGAAAAGATAAATCTATCTTAAACAGATTGCTTATTCATGTCTCAACACAAAAATCTCATTGGAGCTTCCTAAATCAATAAATCTTCCGCAAAAATTCCCTTAAAGTCTCTGCACAAGTGAACCATACTTGAATGAACTTTCAACCTTCGGAGTCTCTATCCTCTGGACAAGATTTAGTTTTAAATTAATATTTTATGTACAATAATGCTATTTACTTAGATTATTACTATATTGTTTTTAATGAGTATATAAAAATATAAATAAGATTAATATTAAATATTTAACATGTATTGATATAAAATTTATTTAAAAATTAAAATAAATAATAAAAGGAGAATATAATCATTATTCATGTTAACTTTTAAAAATTTATTTATATTAATAAAAGGTCTAATCATGTTTTTTTAAATGGTAACTGTATTTCATTAATAAAAGTAAAGAAAAGAATCTTAATTACAATAAACCCAAGCATAGAGAAAAATAGGACTATAGCAATAAAAATGTCCATACAAAAATAAAAATATTAAACTCAAAGATACGAAGAAAAAAAAAATAAAACCTCTTGAGAATGAAAACCAACATAAAAAGAATCCATTAATCTTCATAAAAGTTGTTTCTGTTGAACGAGACGTTTTACGAAGTGATAAAGAAGTGGTGAGCGAACCAAACTCTCTTGCAGACTACTTCACTACACAATTATGATTATACCGATAAACAACCTTTTACCAAAGATGTGATCTAACTATACTTGACCACCGACAAACCAATTAGAAAACAAACGTCATGAAAGTTGGTGCTACGTATACTGTTATGACATCTAAAGAATGTATATGAATCGTATTCAAGTAGTAAAAATGGATGCAAATGAATGCATCAGATGTTGAACCCAAAGAGAACAAATGTTTACGAATTATAATTTTTTAACAAAGTATGAAAAGATATAAAAGTATTGTGAAGTGTTGTGGTAACAAAGTTGTAGCTGAAATAATAAAAATCAGGTTTATAAAGCAGAGATTGCAACAATCATCGATGGAGCAAGTTATTGGTACTAAGAATCATTAAGTGTTAAACAATATATGTGAATTAATAATTCTATGACATCAGAATAGTGCTTCAGTAATTCTATTGCATTTCTACATCGCAACCTAAATATATAACTTAGAATGCCACAACATTCAGGGAACACAAATCTTCAAATGTGTTACACAATGCTCTCACAACACTGATGCTATACAGAATTTAACTTGTATCTCAACGCATTACTGGACAGTTTTATAGTTCTATAAAACAAGCTAAATATTAAGCTCAAGAAACACCAAGCCACTAACAAAGCAAAATAGAAAATCATATATTTTATAATACTTAAATACATTAAAATTCAAGTTTAAGCACATAATTCATCATATGTTATCCAACTAAACTAATAACAATTCCCCCCTCTTTGGTTCAAAAGAAAAAGTAAAGGAGGAATCAAAACAACGCTGACCACTGCCTTCATAATGTTGCTTCACGTCTGATCGAAGCTCTCCTCGATGGGTCTAAACTGCCATGGCTACTACGATTGGAGAGGAAATAAAATATGGAGTCTAGCAAAACAAAAAAGTAGAAGGAATGTGTTGAACGTGTGAAGACTAGCACTTTATATAAGCACAAAAAGTTAATGCTTTGTTTAATAGGAAAATTCCTATTTTTTTGTATTTTTTGGCCTTGATATTATCCGAATGGGACAATTGGTCATGTAGAAGATTACCTTTAATCGCCTATTGAGTTAGTAACTGTTGAAGCATTGGTTCATCAATCCAGTCCATGATTAACTCACAGCAATGCCTGCAACATCAACATAGTCATAGCATTAGAATAACAATTTGGAACAAAAGAATCAATTTCAGCTCAATAACTGATAATTTACTTCCAATATACAAATGATGTAAAATATGTTAAAATAAACTTAAAATGATCCTAATGATGCTAAAGTTCAAGCTTAACCTAAGTAAAAATGTCCTCAATAATAGCTCTTTTAGAGAGTTATCACACCTCTAAACCTAAGTGTTTGCTTGTCCTCAAGCAACTGCATGCATGAAATACAACTAAGCTAAACAGAAATGTTACCGAGTCTAGTCGGATTTTAATTTCCTTTTTCAGCTCTAAAAAATTTTCATTGTTGACCTTTAATTAGAGAATGTAATGTCAATTCATTAGAAAATAACGTCAACTCATCAAGGTCAGAATTCATAGAGTGCAGTAGTGTGCAAGTAAGATGTATCCAATCAATAATTAGCTAAATTAGAAATGAATCGATCATACTCATTTAATTTCAATGTTGTAGCATAGCTCCTAACTCTATTGCTTTGTTAGAGCCAGTGTCAGGTCTCTCTAGTTTATTCCTTTTTTTATTTCCATTTACATTGCTAAATTTAGTTTGTGGAGCCTATAGCATATTGGAAAAAAATGCCAATTGTTTTATTTCTCTCTCTTTTTAAACTAGAGCCAGTTTCGGACGCCTCTAGCATCCCTTTTGTGATGTTGGAGCCAGTCTTGGGCACCTATAGGATCTAATTTCAAAAATAGATGTTTACTACAATATTTACTAGAGTTGTGAGCTTTATAGAGTTAAAAAATTTCTAAGGTCCCTAAATATTGAGAATATACACTTATTGTGTAAAAGAATTTCTATTAATCCTAACCCTAACAAAATCTAAAGCATTCCCATATCATTTCACAATTCAAATTTTTTATCATCGAGAATCATCAAAACGATTATTAAAAACTTCATTAACACGACAACATCCAAAATAGAATCCTAAATGCAACATCATAAATGCTTTAAACAATATGAACAATAGTACACACATAAACAAACAAATGCATCACATGTAAACATGCACAACACAAATGAATGAAACAATATAAACAACACAAATGGACAACACCCCCAACCTAAGAGGTGCATTGTCCTAAATGAATGCAAAAATAGTAAAACATAAAAAAATAAGTGAAATTAAACATGAGATAGGGGAACAATACTCCCCTAACAAGTCTTTCTTGGGCTGGCAGAACATGGGTGAGTCTTCTTGGCAGTAGTAACCTTCTTCATTTTCAACTTCCTCTTCTTGCTGATATGCGATGTGGTGGTAGTGGCCACAACATCAGTAGGGGTTGGATTCAGCGATGTTGCAACATCAACTTCTTCTTAGGGATTAGTAGCAGATGCTTGCTCAATAAATTCTTCCAACACCCCTTGCGTGTCACCCAGTGACACAACAAGATCCTATTTGGCTAAACTTTCTTTTATTCCCTTCAAAATGCTCTCAAAAACATCCTTGATAATGTTGGCGACAAGAATATACTTTTCTTCTTATGTAACTGCATCCCTAGCAGCTTTGTCATCATTCAAGTTAAAAGATTGTCTTGCTTCATTTTCGTAGCTTTGGTTCTCTTCATCCTGATCTATGGTGTCAACATCTTCAGATTCATTGTCATCCTTATAGTCTGTAACAATCTTTTCCTCAATTTTATCACCCTCATCAACAACAATCTTGTCAACGATATCGTCTTCATCCTTATCTGATGCTTCAGTAATGCTGGAAGAGCTGTTGGCATCATCACTCATGGTTATCGGAGCTAATTCTTCTAAAATCTGATTTGCAAACATCGAGATCATAGAAAAAGCCTTTGGGACTACTCACACAACATTTTTCTAATGACTTTGTCCCTTGGTTGAGCATACCCCTAATAAGAGACTTAGGCCCAATGCATTTAAGATTGATTTTATACCGTGTGACTCATTATCAATATAAGCTTCTCTTGTTTTTCTTCCATTTTTGCCATATTACATTCTAACTCTTACAATGTCTTGCCACTTAATATTGTAGTAGATGTGGCAACATCAGTAACACCATAAATACCATAATCTCATTGGTCCTGTGATAGCTCTTCAAGCAGCATTATTCTCTTAATCGTGTGGGTTGAGATGTCACTCCGATTTACTAAAGCATGCTCAGAAAATATCTACAACCACTTTTGTTTCATAGCACAATGAAATGAATAAGGATGAAAAGAATAAATAACCAGTCGATTTCTAGGCACATGCATACATTTCTTCAAAAATAATTTCCACAACATTAATATGACTTCCAAACAAAATAGAATGTAACAACAAGATACAATATTTTGTAATAGTAGAAGAATGTATGGTGGAAATTAAACATGTTCTAAGGAAAATTAAACATGTTATAAGGAAAGTAAACAAAACCCTTGTTGGCAGATTAAGATGCTTCCTCTAGATTGTGCAAGCACCGGTGGTAGACTTGTTCCACTCGGATCTTGGAAGATAGATGTCATCATATATCATCTCCAAGTCCTCCTTGGTGAGGTCAGCAACGAACTTGGTGTGTTCGTCCTCTGCTTTAGTAATACCAAAGTGCTTGTTTATGACATTCGACCACCAATGAACCATTTTCTCCCTCACAGATACTAGGGGCTGGTCCTTGGACGTGAGGTGACTGTAAAATTCCCAAATCAATTCTGATACAATCTCACTAGGGTGAGCATAAAAACTTTCCTATGCAAGCTTGGAAATGGTGTCGGTGACTTAAAGAGCATAACGATCTTCAACATTAGATAAATCAAAACCTTACTCTAAAAAAAAAATCACAGATGAAGAACTCGTTGTAACTATCTTCATGCTCTACCAAAAAGAAATAGACATGGTTTGTTCTTACAACGGATGGTGGTCGATTAGACGATGCTATCGGCGGTGTTGGAGTGTGATAGATAGACTTAATAATAGTATTCTTCTTTGGGGCCATGGATGGAAGAGCTTCAAAGGTTTAATGATTAAAGGAAGAGAGCAAAAATAAAAATGGTTTCTTTGGGAGAAACGTTGTGATAGGAGATGAAGAGTGAAAATGTAAAGTGATAATAAAAAGGGTAGGTGGGAAATAAAGGCTAGGTTTTTTTAAAAAATATAAGAGGGTAAAGTTTTACCCTAAGATTAATGGTTGAGATTCTTTCTGTGAGGTAGTGTGTGACAGCTCATAGTTATGTTTTTATCACTTACTGAATTAGCACCTATCCGTTTTACTAGAATCATCGAGTACAACATCATTTGTACAGAATTGTGATAAATGTTGTGTACCAGTAGATGAAAAAAACTAGTAATATCGCAGACGATGTTAGGGCATTTTCTGTAACAAAAAATCAAAATAAAATGAAAAATAAAATAATTGTAAATTCATAATAATTTAATGTTAAAAATTGACTTATTGAAAGAAAAGGAAAAATTAATCAAATGGAATTTCGCTTAATGAAATGGAGGAAATTCTCGAGGTTGTTCATCGCAATAATGTTTTGATCATTGTCTATTAAATTTATACATACTTTCATCCACTTATTTCTTGACTAACACAACTCCACGAAGATACACCCAGTTACTTCAAAGGACCCTAACGAACGAGATCTTAACTTCCAGGAAATAGTTTCAAGCGAGATTTAAATAGTAACATTGGTTGTCCAACATGAAATTGTCATGGCAATATGTGATTGCAATGCCACCTATTGCTCTCATCCTTGTAACTCTTCGAATTTTCATAGGCATCATTGTGAAGTTCTTCAGGCTCATTCAAATCAAACAATCTTTTCTCTCGAGCAACATTGAGGTCAAAATTGAGTTTTTTAAGAGTTTACATTGCCTTTTGCTCCAACTCCACGGATAAATGACATACTTTCCCATAAACTAGGTGAAATAGAGACATACCCAATGTGGTTTTATAGATTGTACGCTATGGCCACAAAGTTTCATCTAGGCGTAAAGACCAAACCTTCCTTGAAGGGTTTACACCTTTTCTCATATTAGTTTAATTAATTTCACGGTTTGAGACCTCGACTTAACCATTGGATTGGGGATGGTATACTATAACAATATGATGCTTCATTCCATATCGTAACAAAGCTTTGACAACTTGTTTACATGTAAATTGGGATCCCTCATCACTAATAAAAGCTGTTTGTGTCCTACAGTGAGTAAAAATATTCTTGTGAAAGAACTTCAAAACTAACTTGGCATCACTTGAAGGTAATGCTACAACTTCAACCCACTTGGACACATAGTCAACTAAAACAAGAACACAAAGATTTCCAAATGAGAATGGATAAGGTTCCATGAATTCTAATTCCCAAACATCAAGTAGTTCTATCTCCAATATAGGTTGAATATACATCTCATTACGACGAGAAATGCTACCAGTTCGTTGACAATAGTTCTAATGCTTGACAAATTCATTTGCATCCTCAAACAAAATTGATGAACAATATCCACACTGAAAAATATTCATTAAAGTGTGATAAACATGTAAAAAGGCTATATTTCGTGCCTTTTTACTTAGGTTATTGGTTGCTTAAAAGCTCATTTCATTGCATATAGTTGCATTTAGGACCATGTAGTTGCATTTGGTGGTGATGGTTTGCTAAAACATTTTAATGTAAAATTGGTGTTGCTTAATGGAAAAGGTTGTGTTTTGGTGATGATGTACATGTGATGAAAGCTGAAAGAGATGGGGAAAAACTACTGAATATTGCATAGATGGAAAAATGTTATAGCATTTAGGACAGAAATTATGGGTGCCAAAAAAGACAAAAGGACGAAGATATTTTGTTGCCAAGACGTCCAACCCACACATGAATCCCACCTGCCAGCTTGTCCAGCCTACACATGTGAAGGGAACAGTTCATTTTTAAGAGATAAAGATAAGGATATTCCATTATTAAAGAAGAGTTAGAGAGTTTTGAGAATTGAAGTCTTGGAGTTAGGAAATTTATTAGCTTATTGGGAGTTAAAGAGTTCTTGTTTATTTTAGTATAAATAAGATAAGAGAGAAGAAGAGAAAAATGGGGGATAACAAGAGGCACAAAGTCTCCATTATTTTTCTTTTCTTTATTTTCATCCTCCTTTTGTGGTGTCCTCCATAGCCAAGCTTTAAGGGGATAACAAGCTAGGCCTTTCAGAGAAGCTATCTTGCTAAAGATGTTCAAGGCAACGATTCAAGCTCACGGCAACCTAACTGCCTGGGAGTTTTATTCTCCATTTTATGCTTTCATTTCTCTATTTTCTTTGTGGGGTTGTATTAAAATGAATGATGATGAATGATTTGAGCCCCACCATGAACTAACTTATTTGGTATGGGTTTGCTTTGGATGATTTATATTTTTTTTAATGAATGGTTGATGTTTCCATGTTTACATTTTTGCTTTTTTCATTGTTTAGATGTTTAATAACTTAGACTTGTAAGAGTTTTCTAGAATTAGCCATTTTCTAAGTTTTGACGCCTAATGTTAAGAGAGATAGGTTAGATCAATACAAACAATGGAGCTAAACTGGGATGGAAAGGCTCTAACTCACCTTAGAGATAAGGAAATGGTTTTAACGACTAAAAGGGGTAGGACTAAGTCGATATTATTATGCTGCAGTTTACGCTGAGAGGTATTGTCGTAGCATTTTCATTATCACGTTCCTTACTAGAGATAGTCTATGAACACTTTAACAAATCCTATCAAGCATCATACTCATGGAAAATGTGAATCATTCTAAAGACAAGGCATAAGATTACTTAGTAAACCCAACCATTTATCCCTATAGAAGCTTGTTTGTGTGAGGTTTCCAAATCTCTTATTTCATACCCAATGCTCATTTTATTTTGCTTTAGCATTCTTATTTGTTTGTCACAATATTTTATACTCCACACTTCAATACTTTGCCACAACATTTCCATATCATTTGTTCATACTAGACTATACTATATTAGTTAGAATTTTAGTGCATAAAATGTACTCAAGGTCCCTCCAATCCTTGAGGAGACAATATGTAACACCCTAATTTAGGGGTTAAATTATAAGTTTTTGAAACTTATAGTCAGTTTTAGAAAGTTACAGGAAATTTGAGGACCTAACCTTGAATTTGCTCATGTTTTGTTGGTCGTGAAAAATAAACCCGGTTAATTTTCCTCCAAAATCCCCAAATTGAAAAAAATTCCCAACCCCAAACCCTATCCATCGACCCCTTCATCACATCATTCCACTGTTGTTCGATCGCCCTAGCTTGTGCTATCATGACCTCTAAACTCGACATCCACCGACGACCTCAACCCAACCCTTAGATCGTCAAAAACGACTATCGTCCGTTGTGAATTGGGAGAAATTGCCAAAACCCCGTCATCTTCCCTCATTCGATCCGCTTTGCTCTGGCCGTCGGTGAGCGTCACCTCCACCTCTAGTTGAATCACCATGTCATCCGACCAAAACCCCTAAGGTCGATTGTCAAAAGTCGTCGTCATTCTTCTTGAATCGTAGATTGAATGTTTGTCAGAAAACATTAGTGTCACCTAATGTTTTGGTTAATTTCAGCCACCATGACTGTCGGTTCATTGTACTGCCTCTCTCGTTGAGTTCCCAGTGTTCATCCGACCAAAACTTGGTCAGACCCGTCGCTCACCGTCGTTGCAATTGTCGTTCGCCATTGAGGGTAAGTCGGTTCATCTTTTTAATGGTTTTGTATCGTTTTGGCTGATTATTGATGTTGATTTGGATCGATTATGGTGACTGTTGAAGTAGGGAGTAATCGACTGATCGAAACAACCCTCGTCGCCACCGCATAAGCCGTCACGCGCCGATAGTGCTTGTGGGGCTCATCCCTCAACTCTGGTTTCTTCTAGAACAGTCTAGACCAGCCGAACATGTCAACCCAGTATGAACCATGTCTGTTTGACCCGACCGAGTCAACCCGAACTGAGTCATCTCATCTGCGTCAACTCGTCCGAGTAAACACGTTAACTTTGATAGTTGACTTTGACCATTAACTCAAAAAGTTAAATTTTTCGAAAAATCCTATTTTATGTTTTTTTATGTCCTGAGTTTGAATCCGATGTTCGTTTTGCCAAATTCGTACTCGGTAAGCTATTTTCAGTGTTTTATCTTTGGATTCAATTTGATTTCTCAATTTTGTTCAGTTTCTAACGTAAATTTGGTTGCTATGTATCCGAGGAATTATTTGACATTAAATTCAAGTTTGAGAGTGATCGAATAGAGTTTAAATGTTTGATCGGTGGAGTACGAAAACCAAGGTAATACTTTACTATCTTTTGTATGCTTTCCGAAACTTGTTGATAATTGGTAACTGCATCGATTAAATATTTGGTCCTTTGGGTAAAATTAATTATTTGTGGACTCAAACAAATTTTGGTAAAAAGACAGTAAACTATATAAAACTCATATGGCTCGCTTAAAAAATTGGAAAATCAATCGGAAATAATTATAAGTTCAGTGGTTCATTAATAAATGAATTAACTTCAAGATCTGTAAATTTTGATTAATTTCTTTAAATGTTAATTACAAGGAATATTTGGATAAGAATTACCAAAAATAGCCCTATGGGGTAAAATTATGAAAATTCCCTTGTAATGTAAAAGACCAAGACTTCCCTTGATGTTGAAGAATAACCGAGAAAGGACATATTTGATTAATTATCAGAAAAAGAGCATATTGTTCGGATTCAAAGAAATTACCGAAATATCCTCGAGCTACGAAATAACTAAAATGACCTCAAATGTTCAAATGACTAAAATACCCTGAACTCTAAAGAAACTAGAATACTTTGAAGCCTAATTTATCGGAGGTAATGCCACTGACAGAATTGAATGGAATGACGATAATACACATAAATGTA